TTTTTTCTGAGGTTTTCCATATCCTGGCTGTTTTCTTTTAATGTTGTCTATTTTTGTCCTGAGTTCATTTATCTTTATTCATCATGTTTCTTTTCACTTTGGTGTTTATACAGTGCTTCTATGGTTTCCTTTATTTCTTCTTTTGCTTTTTCAAATTCTCTATTTTTGTTGTCTTGGAATTTCTTGAGTGTCTCCTGTACATTTTGGTTGACCCTATCCAGTATCATCTCTATAAAATTCTCATTGAGTACCTGTAGTATGTCTTTTTTAAAGTTATTCTTGTGGGCTTCATTGGGTCCTTTGGCATAGTTTATCTTCATTTTGTTGGAGTCTGGATCTGAGTATCTGTTTTCTTCATTCCCCTGGTTCCTGTACTAATTTTTTGCTGTGGGGAAACTGGTTTCCCTGTTTTTTCTGTCTTCCCGTCATTGTCTTTGGTGTTGTTACTGTCCCTGTACTGTGTGCAATTAAGTATTTTCTAGCTTGTAATAATAACAATGGTAATATTTAGAATGGAAGGGTGAGCTGAGATGGAAAGCAAGAAGTTAAAGAAAAGGGAAAAACAAATACACAGACGAAGGAGAAAACAGAACAAGGTATCAGACAAGAAGTTTCAAAGGTATAAACAGGGAGTTAGTGTACTAATTGACAGTAAGCTGAACAGACATTAGAGAGACAGAGAGAGATTGAAAATAAAAAATAAAAAAAATAAAGAAAGAATAAAAATAAAATAAGTAAATGAAAGAAAATCTATATATAAAAATGATTAAAATAAAATGAAAAATAGAAAATTAAAAAAAAACCAAAAAACCAACTCCAAGTTCAAATGCAATGAAGTTTCAGTCTTAATAATTTGGGTGTCCGTCTCAGTCCCAGTCCTGGAGATGGTGCCTCAGATGTTGTTCTGTAGTTGTCTCATCAAAGGGGATGCATAAGTAGAACAAAACTACACACACAAAACAACACAAAAAAACCCCACAAGTGTCCCAAGTTCAAATGCAATACAGTTTCAGTAAGTTTTTCAGCTTGCAGGTGTAATTCGGTTGTTCTCTCATCAAAGGTAGGGAGAAAAGAAAAAAAAGAGTCTGGAGACAGTTCTGAGAATGGTATCTGCAGCTGTGGCTTGCCTGCCTGCTGTCAGCCTGCTGTTGCTGGAGGCATTATTTATGCAGATCTCTGGGGTGAGCTTAGCACTCACCTGGCCCTGCAGGCTTTGTTTGCTCAAGTTCTCCTGTGCGGAGCCTCTGCTACAAGCTTTCCCCTTTCCAAGCACTGGGAAGGTGACACTGCACCCGCGTTGTCAGGCCTGCGTGTTTATTTACAGTTCATGTGGGAGGTGGGTCTTCCCCCTCTCCTGTGCAGTTTTCCTCCCACCCCACTTTCACAAGCTTTCCTGCTCCTGATTACTGGGCGGGGCTGCTGCTCCTGCCAGCCGCCATGTTTGTTTACAGTTCACATGGAAAGTGGGTCTTCCCTCCTCTCCTGTGGAGTTTTCCTCCCTCCACCACTCTCACAAGCTTTCTCGCTCCTGGTTGCTGGGTGCGCATCCCCGCTCCCACCAGAGGCTCTCCGGCCAGGCTGGCTTGTTTATTTACAGTCCCGGGAAGGGTTCCCTTCCCCCAATCTTCGGCGCTCATTGCGCCCCACCCTCTCTCCTGCGTGTCTTTATTGCTCTTATTGCTTATTACTCAGTTTCTCCTTTTTTCCCTAGGTGGAGGTTGGTCTGTCCAGGGGGCTATGCTGCTCTGGCCCAGGCTTGTCTGTGGGAGTACCGCGTACCGCAAAGCTCACCTGGTCCGCATCTTCCCAAGCTGTCTGGGCGCTGGCGACTGACGGCCAGGGGGCCCTCCTGGTTTCTCCGTTTAATGTGAAGTGGAGATTTTCTGCGCCGGCTGGAGGTGTGGAGGGGTCAAAGTTATGCCTCTTCTCAGTGATTATGCCTGCAAAGTGTGTCTCCAGTGTCTCTCCAAGATTTCACTATAGGAGGCTCGCTTTCTGCTTCCCTCTAGCCCGCCTCTGGAAATCCCTCTGGATTTTTTTTTTTTTTTGGCAGAGCCTCATGCTTGCTAGGCAGGCCTGTTCTGGCTTGAGCCACTCCACCAGCCCAAAATACAGGGTTTTTCTTATTTTTTTGCTGTTTCTTGGCACTGCTGGGGAATCAAATCCTGGCCTTGGCATTAGTTTACGGCAAGTGCTCTACCACTGGGCTACAGCCCCAGCTGTCAGATTGGATTTTTAAAAAAATCAAAGTGAGACCCAACTTTATGCTGCTTTTAAGAAACCTACATTAAATATAAAGATACAAATAGAGTAAACACAAAAGGATGGAAAAAGATATATCGAACTAATATTAATCAAAAGAAAACTAAATTAAATCAAAAGAAGTGACTAAATTAGAATCAGGAAAAGTAGATTTTAGGTCAAAGAATATTACCAGGAACAAAGAAGTTAATTTTATAGTGATGAATAATTCAAACCTGAAAAATCTATTCCTGAACAAGATAGCTTTAAAATACATGAAGCAAAACCTGATAGAAAGCAAGGAGAAAAATATATCTACAATTAGAGTTGGAGGTTTTTTTGTTTTTGTTTTTTATTTTTGGTGGTACTGGGGTTTGAACTTAGGGGCTCATACTTCCAAGGCAGGCACTCTGGCACTTAAGTCACTCTGCTAATTTTGGGTATTTTTGAGATAGGGTCCCACAAACTATTTGCCTGGGCTAGCTTCGAACCTTCATCTTCCTGATCTCTGCCTCCTGAGTAGCTACAATTATAGGCAGAACCACTGGCGCATGGCTGTAGCTGGAGATTTTAACAGCCTTATCTACAAACAATTGTAAAAGTAGATGGAAAGTGATATTAAAGTTGCTTTTGACTAACAACCTATAACCTGAATTAATATTCATAGCACACTGCACACAACGCAGCAAGATTCTTATTCAAATGGCAAAATGGAGCATTTGCAAAATAGATTTATATTCGGGCCATAAAACAAGTTTCCCATATACTTAAAAAGCATTCAATTCAAATTACACAAAGTGTTTATCGTAAAAGGAAAATCAAAAAAAAAACAAAAACAGGAAGATAGCTGGGTAGTCCCCAAATATTTAGAAACTAAATAATACCCTTCTAAATATTCAGTGGGTCAAAGAAGAAACCAAAAGGGAAATTTAAAAGTATTTTGAATTGAATGACAATGAAAACACAACATATCAAAATCTGTGGGGTACAGTTTTTTCTATGGTGGACTGACAATGGAAAAGGGAGACAAAATTGATATGAAAACTGATACCCACTGAGCGCCTCCAGGCCCCTGAGTACATTCCCTTTCAGCTTCCTAGTAGCCATGTGATAATGGTAATGAACACCTACTATATATTGATGCATACAGATAGTGTTATAAGAGTTTTATATGTTAATTTGCTGAATACAGCAATATATGAAGTAGGGACTGTAATTCATGTTTTACGACCCTGAGGGCACAGGTGTGCAGGGACAGAATCACTTTCTCCAGTATCACAAAGGACCCTGTGTTTCAAACACAAGTAATGTGGCTCCTGAACCTATCTTCTTAACCACAACACTACCCATGATGGACACGAAGAAACCAGGACCAGAGACTTTAAGTACTAGCTAAAACTACCCAGCTACGTGGGATTCAGACCCAGCTCTGTGTAGCTCCAAGTTCTCTCTTTTTTTTTCTCCACCTTTCTCTTCTGTTTCCCTGTGTTGGTCTCAGTTCTAATTTCAGGAGGACTGGCCACATCTGCAAAGTGATGAGGGCCAGGTTAATGCCTAGATTTTAATCTCAAGGGACTGGTGAGATGCACATTAGTGCTTGATACTCAGTAAAATGTAAAACACCTGAACTGCAAATTTTTGTTGCAGGCTGGAGTTTCTGACCCAAGTAAATGAGACAAAAGAAATCTCTGGCAGACAGAAAAATAAAGGAAAATGCCTTCACTGAGATGTGAATGGAAACAACTCTGCCCCAGAGTCAGGAAGCCTGGTTGTTACCCTGGCCAGTTATAGAGACTGTTACTTGACAATGTCTCTGTCCAACAGTAGGAAACAGAGAATGAACAAGGCTGGAGTGTTTTATAAAGAGAATAAAGTCTGAGCTTTGGAATCAGCTGGGCCTAGACTCTGATTTATTTATTACCTCCATTTTTTTTATTACCTCTATCAGCCTTAGACAGAGATTACCTCTCTGAGCCTCAGTTTCCACATCTATAATCATATCTTCCCAAAAAGCTATTATAAGAATCATATATGTATAAATAGCCAAGTTAGATACTTGGCATATAATCAGAGTTCAGTAAGTGATAATTGTTATTATATTACCAAATATATGAGTTCTGATAGGCTCTGGGAGCACATGCACACATTTGCAGTTTGGGATGTATCCAAAACCACACACAGCAGCTAATATTTGTTTGTCCACTGACTCTGTGAGTCACTTTCTGAACAGCCACTAGATGCCATGTGTAGTCATAGGCCATGGGAATACAAAGCCCTTATAGAGCCTAAATTCTAGGGAAACAGCTATCTAATAATCACTTCAGATCCAGTTATATGATTTCAGTGGGGTTAAACTGCACAGAAGGGAAATACAGAGTACTTGAATGAGCTATGATGAGGGATGAAAAATGCTGACCCATCATGAAAAATCAGGGAGAATTCTCTGAGAAAAGGATGTTTAGTCTAAGATCTAAAAAAAGAAGTAAGCTGGGCAAAAAGGGAGGGGTAGGAATGTGTGAGGCAAGGAGTAGATGTCCACATGGCAAAACCTGCAGGGTGGAAGGGAGGAGGTTGGGAAGGAGGCAGGGCCTCAGGACCAGGTTCCCACAACTGGTAGAAGAAAGGATCAAACCAGACGTACTGTCTGGCCCTTTGAGCTCCAGATGTCTGAGATTCTGTGGGCTGGGAAGTGGAAAGAATATAGGGCCCAGCTGCCTACTGCTATGCTGCTGACTGCCAGATGTGGCCATCTGGCTTACCCTTGAGGTGAGCCCTCAGAGGTCTGTCGTCTATCAGCTCCAGACACTGCCAGATCCACTTGTAATAGGAAGGCGAATTCGCAAGGTTGATCAGCCGCAGGATTTCACAGCTGCCCTGGACACATCAATGGACACAAACAAAGGTTTAAACCTGGATGCTCCAGGCAGGCCAAGCTTTGGAAATAAGGTCTCTGTGTTGCATCTGACCCTGTTTTATTTGCTCAATGCAAGTTGTTTCATATTCCTTTTTTAAAAATAAAAACATCTCTACTTGTCATAAAAATTCTAAGGAAGCATAAAAACTAAATACAATGCTCACACCAGGAAAAGTCACCATGGAGGTGGTTATTGGGAGAGTTGGTGAAACTTAATATGAACTGCAGATTATACATTTAATGGATATTACAATCCCCTTATTTTTATAATTATTTTGTGGTTAATTTCTGATATTAGAAAATAATCACTTAGGTTTATAGGGATAAGTGAGGACAGTGAATAAAACTTAACCCTCAAGTAATTCAGGCAGGGAAGTATAAAAGGAAATGTGGTGAATCTGGGTTAAGGTTAACCAGATGTTCTTTGTACTGGTCTTGTAATTTTTCTATAAATTTGAAATATTCCAAATTAAAAGTTTAAAACTTTTAAAACCAGAGAACATAGTTAAAACTCTATTAATACTAACAACCAGAAATAACTAGTAGTAACATACTAGGAAATATTATTTAAAATTATTCTATAAAAATTATAGATAATAAGTTTTCATAAATGAGTTCAGTTAAGTAAAACAGACTCTTACAACCTTTTTAGACAATAATAAACCAAGGACACTTTTTTTTGGGGGGGTCAGCATGGGTTTGAACTCAGGGCCTCACCACTTGAGGCTAGGTAGGTACTCTACCACTTCAGCCATTCTACCAGCCCTAGGGAATTTTTTTATGACAAACATATTCTTCTACATTGTTGTTTTTAATGATTGCATATTATTCTACATATGCTATAATTTATAAAGTCAAAAATAAATATTCAGTTGAACAAAAGAAGTTGTACACAATGGGTACATATGAATATTATCCCATTTATATGAAGTTCAAAAACTGACAAAAGTAATGTGAGTGGTTACCTCTGTGGGGGAATTCTGTCTGAGCAAGGACACAAGGGAACTTTCTGGAGTGCTAGAAATGTTTGCATCTTGATTTGGGCAATGATCACACAGATGTATGCATATGCAAAAATTCATCAACTTGTACAGTTTAGATTGTAAATCTTTACTGAATATACATTATAGTTCAAGAAAACATTTGTTCAAGATTCACAATTGGCTGTTTCAAATTTGTCATTATTATATATAGCTCTAATTTTATTCAGGACAGCAAAGTCCCCAGTTTAAAAAAAAAATGAAAACCTCATGACCTTTCCAGACTTTTTTCCTGTGGCTAATGAAATGTAAGTGAAATTTGCTGGATAAAACTCCCAGGAAAGCAATAATTCTAGATGGATTATTACAAGAGAAAAAATAAATTACCATTTACTAAGCTATTTGTACTTGGGTTTTTGTGATCTGCAGCAAAAAGCAGTTGTAACTGATATTCTGTATATAATATCTTAATTCTTATAAAGGTCACTAAGGCTACAAACACTCAAGTTCTCTTCCCAGGTACATGGCACAATTGCACTTTTTCACTCTGTGATTTGGGCATGCTTTTTTTTTTTTTGGGTGGTAATGGGGTTTGAACTCAGGGCCTCACACTTGCTAGGCAGGTGCTCTACCATTGAGCCAGCCCTGTTTTGTGTTGAATTTTTTCAAGACCTATTTCCCCAGGCTGGTTTTGAATCGTGATCCTCCTGATCTCTGCCTCGTGAGTAGCCAGGAATACAGAAATGAGCCACCTGGGTGCCTCATGGCCTTCTTATTGCCTTAGGTTTTCCTAATGACAGGACTTGTGGTACTCTGGGTGGAAACTTTAAAAGCCAATGCTTGATTTTCAACATTCCATTCTCCTGTCCTATGATCACAGAAACATGGGTCAAGATATTATCTGTAGGCTGGGTGTGGTGGCAAATGCCTGTAATCCCAGTACTTGGGAGGCTGAGACAAAATAAAAAAATAAAATAAAATAGTAAAATAAAAAGAGGAGCAAGAGAGATAATCTCCAGTTCTGTGGGCCCCTGAGTAGCCATAAAAAAACAAGAACTTTCTGGTGACTTGGTGACTTGCTCTTGGTAAGTAGTATGATTAAGGAATAAATCTTGGTTAGTCACTCCATTGAGACTTGAGAATTGCTTATAAATGCAACACAATGTAGTTTATCCTAATTTATTTGATACCCATGTTTGATTACCAGTTTGGGAATAATTCCTAAAAACATGCATGTTTTAAATTCTATTACATAGGCCAGGTGCCAGTGGCTCACACCTATAAACCTAGCTACTCAGGAGGCAGAGATCAGGAGAATTGAAGTTCAAAGCCAGCCCTGGGTAGTCTGCGAGACTCTATCTTGAAAAAATCCTTCACAAAAAAGGGTTAGTGGAGTGGTTCAAGATGTAGGCCCTGAGTTCAAGCCCCAGTACCACAAAAATAAATAAATAAATAAATAAATAAATTTTGTTACACATTGCCAAACTTCCCTCCAGAAAGGTTAGCTCCGTTTCTATTCCCTCAACAGTGCATGACAGAGCCTGTTACATCTTTGCCAACACTAGGTTTTCAGAATCCTTTTAATCTTTGCTGATCTGACAGGTAAGAACTAGGGTGTATACCTCTGTGGTAGAGCACTTGCCTAGCATGTGAAGCACTGGGTTCAATGCCCAGCACTAAAGAAAGAATAAAGAAAAAGGAAAGGGAGGAAGGAAGGAAGGACATTTCTCCTTTTTATTTCCTATCTTTATAACATTTTACCATTTTTATTAGGAACTCTAGGAGATGCATTACAAATGACTGAAGCCCAATTGTTGAAGAGACAGGAGAGGAAGGAGAAGAAAGGAACAGATATTTAGTGAGCCCTTATTATATGCCCGGCATTGTGCTTGGAGCTTTATTCAACATTCATTCAACAAACATTAATCACCCAAGAACCAGAGGTACCAGATAAATATGAACAGTTTCCTCTTGGAAGTCTCTCTGGGTCTTTAATTACTTCTGAATCTTTGGAGGTAAGAATTTCACGCCTACCCAAACGACAAGCTGCTCAGAAAGGTTTGATATTGGGCATTAATTATGCTTGCTATACTAGCAGGAATCATGTTTCCCAACATAAGTTGTCCCAAGAAAACCCAACCACCAGCTCCTGACTTCGCCCTCTAGTGGCAGTAATAGTAAAGCATGGGAGTTGGGATTGCAGGGTCTCCCCGCCTCCAAAAGAACACTAAACGGGCAGGTCTACAGGAAATAAAAGTAAAAAAAAAAAAAAAAGGAGTGCTCTCTTTACAGGAGACGGACGCTTCTCAATTCCTGCCAGGGGGGTGGAATCTAGCTTGCTGTCTCCTTCTGAATTTCCAAAGCCAGAAATCATAATTCTATGCAAAAGCTTCACACCAATGATCAGATTTTAGTGAAACACTGTAAAGGCCAAACCAAACCTATTTGCTGGCTCCGAGTCCCCAAATGCTGTCACAAAATGACCTCTGTATTACTTTTCTCAGAATGAAATCCAAGCATTGAGTACCTGGGGCATGTCTCTAGGGTGAGACAGAAATTTACGTTTTAAAAAACTCCTCTCTTAGATCAAGGGTTCTCCAACTTTAGCGTGCATGTGAATCCCTGGACGGCTTGTTACTTACTGAAACCTCCCTTCCAGAGGTTTCATCTGATAGTTCTTGGTTGGGCTTGAGAATCTGCATTTTAATGAGCTTCCAGATGCTGATACTGCTGGTCTGGCTATACTTGAGAAGCACTGGATTATCAGACAAATGTTAATTAGGCATGTGCTAAACTTGTTCTCATTGCCAGACTTTTATGATGAAGAAATGGAGGTAAAAACAGATTAAGAATCATCTCTAGCTGGACAAGGGAATGTACAGCTATAATCCTAGCACTTAGAATGCTGAGATAGAATCAAGAGTTTGAGGCCAATCAAGAGTTTGAGACCCTATCTAAAAAACAAAAATAAGCCAGGTGCCAGTGGCTCACGCCTGTAATCCTAGCTACTCAGGAGGCGGAGATCAGGAGGATCACAGTTAGAAGCCAGCCTGGGCTAGTAGTTCACGAGACCCTATCTCAAAAATAGCCAACACAAAAAAGGGCTGGTGGACTGGTTCAAGGTGAAGTTCCTGAGTTCAAAACCCAGTACTGCAAATAAATAAATAAATAACAAAAATAAAAACTCCTAGGGCTGGGGTGTAGTTCAAGTGGTAGAGCACCTGCCTAGCAAGCATGAGGCCCTGAGTTCAATTCCTGGTGCTGCCAGATTTTTAAAAATCCTCATTTTTTTGCTGCTCTAAATGTAATCATCATGGGCTGATGGAGTGGTTCAAGTGGTAGAGCACCTATGTAACATGAGGCCGAGTTCAAACCCAGTACTGCCAAAATAAATAAATAAATAAATAAATAAATAAATAAAAATAATATAATCTTTATGCTGATTAAAGAAGTCTTAAATTTATATCCCTTATCACTCATCTCTGACCCTCATTTGTCCTGCCTGTATAGTATTAAAGAGCTAAGAGTTAAATTTGGGGACCTATGGCATTACATGGTTAGAAGTGAAATTTTAGGAAGGAGGAAGCACATATCGGGAAGGAGAAGGGAACTGCAAATGATTCAAGTTGATCTTCAGGGCTTTCTGCTTTATATTCTCTAACCCCTCTCCCACTTCTCATGTGCCATATCAAGAGTCTCCAAATACGGCTGGGCTACTTCAGCCGGCTTCTGCTACTTCGGAGGCTGAGACTGAAAAGATTGTGGCTCAAGGTCAGCCTGGGCAAATAGTTGTGAGACCCCCATCTCCAAAAATAACCAGAAAAAATGGACTGGAAGTGTGGCTCAAGCAGTACAGCACCTTCTTTGCAAGCACAAAGCCGTAAGTTCAAACCCTAGTCCCACCAAGAAAAAAAAAAAGTCTTCAAACATGTCATATTCACCCCAGGCC